CAAGACGTCGCTGCCGGCTGATCGCCGAGGGCAAGTCTTTCCTGCGTCCACGGTATTTTTCTTCTCCGCCCACACAGGTGTATATAACTTTATACTGCATAGTATGGTACATGCGTCCTACGTACTGTTCTCCATTATCACGAATGGTCAATTTCAAGAGAAAGTAGACTGCAGCAGATTTTAAACGGTATAATCTTTTGTTATCTTTCGATTTGCTATGATTGTGTCTTTTAGAGTTCCAGTGAAACGACGTAGCGAATGTACGTAGTTTTCATAACTTTTGCTGTACAATATGGTTATAATAATTTACTTCGTGTTTTTATCATTCCTGGAGCTTACGCGTTTCACACGGTATAATTTCCACGGTTTTACAATTCTAGCTTTGTAGTGGATCTTTTTATAAGTCTCGATTTACTATCCTTGCGTAACAAAATAAGAAATTATTTAATTATTTTATAAGATAATAATATTAACTGTAGTATTACGTATAATTTTTGTATAACGCGTGTCTCAATTACTCGCCTGCAGATTTCTATCTTCCCACGCCAATCGGAGTTTTTTCCCATCTATAATAAATAATAATCGTAATAACAATAATATACGTATGTAATCTGGGAAAGGTATCGGGCAGAATCGAGCCAACAATCGCTGTGTACAATCCTCTATCGGAGATTTAAAAATTCAGTCGGGTTTCCTCCGTTTTGACTAGACGATCGTGTCGAAATAGATTCCGTTTTTCGATAAAGTATTCGATCAGGATTGAGAATCCGTTTGCAACGAGCTGTGCAATCCAATAGTCCAACCACGGCTGTCACTCTGCACACTATCAACGATATTCGTTTGCGTCAATAGGAACGTGGATGAGATCGAGAAAAAGGTGTGCACATGTGCCTGGTCTGAACGGAAGTTTATTCCTTAATTGCGCGGTTCGATAGAAAAAAAAGGAAGCCGATCAGCAAATTGCGGCTAATTCGATGTCACGGTCACCGATTCGAGAACGTATTAACCCTTCAAGAAGTCTCGGCTCGTTAAATCCACGCCTAGTTTGCAAAACTGTGTTCCTAGCCGTCTGTAATTGTCCCGTTATTCGAGAAACTAGAAAAAAGTCTCGTAAACGATCTTCGACGCTAATGCTACGAAATATCCAAACATTCTAGCCGATTTATATTTTTAGCAATGATGCATGAATGTTAGCAAAATGAAACTAGAGATAAAAACGAATTTAGAAAACTGGAAATCAACGAGAACGTCCAAAAGTATTAAGCAATTTATTTCATACAAAGAAATAATAATTTTTAAATAAATTTAAAAAGTAAATAGCAGCTGTATTAAAATTGTAGATACGGTTTATCGATGTACCTATCCTTCAAATAATTTTCGTTCGTGCATAACTTTTTACTTGTGATCCTGTAATTAAATAACACGTTGTTGAAAATAACCAAATAGGCAGATATTTTAGTGCGCTAATGTATCAGTGTATCTCTCTCTTTTATCGTTTGGAAAATTAGTTTCGTATGGAATACGGATTTTCACGATTGTACGTCTATAGGGCGCGAATATATTTGATTTTCAAAGGCGTAGGGTGGGAACGTTTTATGGTTTGTACCGTAAAATCGATTCAGCTGGTAGATGTATAATATAATTTTATAACGCGATAAGGGAAATAGGAACGAATACCGGTTGCATGTTCCATCGGATACGTAGCCCGCGAGCTTTATCAACGTTCGTTCGATCAAAATCATTACGTGTTTCCAATGGTTTACTTTGTAGACTGGCCGGAGCAATTAGCGCACGGAAATCACTGCCGTTCGGAAAAATATCGCCGCTAGTTATCACGTGTTATAGTATAAAGGCAGAGAAATGATAAAGAAAAGCGCTTTCAGTATTCATCGGCGATATTAATTGCAACTTTGATCCAACGTCCATCATATTTTCGTTTGAATTCCTTTGAATGGCCATTGTGACGATTTCGTAGATTAAATTTACGTCGTTTGAAGTTACGCGTTATAGATTTCGGTTACATCCAGACAAAATAATCTTTTTATGTTTATTCGTATAAAATATGATTTAGAAAATTGAATATACGTATTTGATACAAATAAAATTGTATTGCATTTTTAAACAATTAACACGAGTATATTTTACTCAAATTAAATATCATCCGGAAGATTGAATACACATATTCTTTTATTGTTTCCATACTTCGTAAATATTTTTATTTGTTTTAATAAGTGATTTCATATCGTAAATAAAAAATTGTATGTTACCTGGTATCATCAATCCGTTCCTGATGCTTTTGATATAAAAAGATTTTTCTGTCGCCAATGGCTCAATTTCATATCGCGATATGAATATCGCGGATTTTCATCGAAAATTTAAAGACGCAAAGATATACAGGGTGGTTGATAACTGGTGGTACAAGCGGAAAGGGGGTGATTCTACGCGAAAAAAGAAGTCGAAAATATAGAATAAAAATTTTTTTTTTAATTTTTTTTTTAAATTTTTCCATCGAGACAACGATCTACAGTGAGATCCGTTATAACGAGACGTGATAAAGTGCACGCGTACCGAGCGAAAATTCAAAGTCGATTTTCTCGAAAACAAAGCCTCGAACGAAAAATTTTTATTCTATATTTTCGACTTCTTTTTTCGCGTAGAACCACCTTTCCGCTTGTACCACCAGTTACCAACCACCCTGTATAAGATATCCAACATATAGTAATCTCTATATCAATTAATACGATATTTAATGTATCAAACAATTTTCTATATCTACATTCTACCTGTTTAATTATACCTATTCAGACAAATACGAACTTGCATAAATATCCGCAGACTAAATATTAGAATACGGATTTTCTCCGACTAATTAACCCGTTGGAAACACCGCGCGAAGTAAACCGAGGCTAGCGAAATGATAAAAAATGTCTAGATCAGATCTACGGTGACCGTATCCAGGAAAGATTGGAGGTGGTGAGCCGCGAAGAATTTTTACGAGCGGCTAGCGTGTGCACGTAACAACCTGGCGAACATAATTCTCGTATTTCGAGGGGAAAACGACGTAAAGACGAAACGAGTGTCCTTTACGATCCCTTAAATGCCTCGTGTTATTTCCAACAGGCGGACGATATTCAGCGTAATAACGCGATAAATAACGGGTCGTAACTTCCGTATACGTAGGTAGTTGCCGCGTACTATTCGGCCAGGGCTCTTTATTCCGGAGCACGTTGGTTTATAAACGTTAATTACGTGTCCCCCCGTAGCACTGCAACCGCTTGCTTAGCTTTGCAGGAAGCGACGCGAAACACCAGTTGCCAGCGCCGCTTTCTCGCAGTTCTTCAGTCGCTGGTCGCGGCAAAAAGGAATAACTTGTTATTGCAAAAAAAGAACGAGTGCCTCGTTCTGTGACACGATGAAAAAAGAAGCTACACTTGGCGGAATCGATCTTCCTAGCTCAGAATCGTCTATGGACAACCGGTTTCTCCGGTCGAAATGTGTCTAAGCGTAGGAAGTTTTAGAAAATTGAACTAATCATTTCACAAACCATTACAGTGGAATTTCTAGTATCCGGACTAATGGAGAGACATAACCGTTGGGACGAGGGAATTTTCGGTTAGTAGAATCCGCGTCTTTTCGGAACATTTGAAAATAAGATGGTCGTTCATCGTCATTTTCAATGTAATCTTCTTGCTTTCAACATGGGGAATTAAAATGTCGATAATATGTATGGAAATCTCCAAATGTTTCAAGATATTAGCGTTATAATATATATATATTTAGATAGTGGCATTTTTTTTATCGCTGATTCATTACCATTATTGCAAAACAGAACGCGGGTATTTATTTTTCAATACCATTAAAGTTTTTCTACTTCTTGAAACAACCGAGTAATTTCCAATTACATGTTCCTGTTCTTGACGTCATTAATTATCTACCTTCTCCAACTTCTGAAGTATTTTCTTTCCTCTCGGCGCTTGATACAAGACATTTCCTCTTTGATGTCATTATATACAAAATATTAACGTGTACGATATCAGCTTCGTACTAAAGTAATAAGAAAACGATATGAAATAACAGTAAGGACGTATAAATGTTGTCAAAGACCCAAGCGAAAAATTAAGCCGCTTAATTAAAGTAACTTGATTTGCGCTATGCGACTTTCACAGATTATTCTCGCTGCTCACATTATTTAACATCCGCTGTCCGAAGAAATTTCATTCAGAACAGCCGTTTAATTCGAATAACTTAACTCGCGCTATTAATCCAAATCTAAGTTCAAATTATTTGACCAATTTGAACGAGGCTTCGCCAACAAGTTAGCTAGACGCAGCCCGTTGCGTGCGATCACCAATTTCTACGGGATAAGACGATCGTAACTTTACGACCACGCGAAACGCGATTAAGCAAACCTTCTTGATTTACCTTTCCTTCGTCGAGGTTAGATCGTCGCACCCACACAACGTCAAGTTGTAAAAGGGGAAAGCGATTCGCGGAATTGCGTGAGATCGAGGGCGATTGTTCGTCCCGGAAGCGGAGGAAAATTCGAAATGCCCCCGAGGATCGAAGAAGATCGCCACGGTTTGTCAGTATAACGTCGGTCAGATTCCGCTTGTTCCCGGCCTGTGCGAGTCGCATTATTCAATTTTCCACGGTGCTACGAGGTGCAATTGCACGCAGAGGCGGATGGCGTGGGCCGGTGTACTCGTTCGTCGGCTGGTTCCCGCGTTGTACGTTTGCCCGTGTGGCGGCTGTCTCCAGCTGGTGCGCGATGGAACCTGCGGTCGAATCGGCCGCTAGTAAATCGAGAGCTGCGATAAAATCGATACCGCGTAGATCCAACGATTTTTTGTCCCCCCCGCGAAGCTTTCGGTCACTGTAAATGATACCACATTACGTGCGAACGATAGCCTCGCGTAATTGAAATGGAAACTGCGTAACGCGCCGACTGCAATCGAGCGAAGGCTAATAGAGAGATGTGGAAGATATTTCTGACCACTACGATTTGTTATAATAGTTTTATTTGAATTTGAACAAAGTGCACTGATTTATGACGAATTGGTAATTACAAGCGGTACTTACTATCTTCCTGTAGAAAGAAAATTCCAAAAGGAAAGGTTCCAGCATCTTTAGCTTTTGTTCAATACGTTCCGGTTCCTGTAAACAAAATATTCGTCAAGTTACACGATTCGTCGCAGTGCATCTGTAATTATATCGTAGAAGAATTATGTCTAATTAAGTCGTAAAGTTGTACCTGCGAAGCTTTCGATAGAAGTACGCAGGTACAGGATACATTAATTAAGTAATTTCCCTTGAAAGACGAGGTCCAAAACGTAGATGTCATTGCGAGTAGTAACGAGTTACGAAGAATTACACGTAAAAGGAGGAAAGTATTACGGGAAAATACGAAACCTAAGCAATAGCGTGGATAGTCTGGCAAATAGGAACGAGCACACTGGTGTCATTCATAAAGATGAAAAAGACGAAGATCGATATATCGGTACATACAGGCTCTCTTCAAAGTTGCTTAGTCAAAGAACGAGCTGCGGTTTGGAAACATCGACGGATGATTTACGATGGTTCGATACTGGAGAAAGGGCAAAATACCTGACTCTAAAGAATACTTCCATACGTCGAGGCGCATTCTTTTTTCTCCCATTCCGGATGAAAGAATTTTCGATTACTTCGAGTTAACGAGCGATCGCGTAAAGTCAGCCAATCTGTCTGCCACGCTGCTTCTGCCGTGTGTTTCGTCTTTATCGACGAAATTTCACGGGGCGGAGTTCATGGAATAAAGGAAGAAAGGGGCGTTCGGATTACGGTTCTAACTTAAACCGAGCGTGCCAGGAATCCCCTGTGATGCTTTATGTTTTCGTCGATACGTGATCCCACATCGTACGATCTTCGTACGTCGTCCATCGTTCTCGTTATTAAAGCGAGCCATTTATCTTGTAGTCTGCGAGCTCGTTCGAAATTCCTTTCGATAAAGTCTCCTTCGTCGTTCTGTTTAATCCACACGAGGACCAAGCAAATCGTAGTTTATATTGCAAACAAAATAGTAAAAACATTGTAAAACCATAGAATTATCATTAAATCGTAAAATTATAGAATCTATAATTAAGCGAGTTTTTCGATGAAATACAGAATCGACAAAAGGTATTGGATGATAAAAGTTTTGAACTGTGACGTGAAGTTGGATTTTCCTGGTCGAACTCCATAACCTGTTCCATTCTTCTTTTCCGATACTATGGATTGATTTAAGAAGATCTTGATACGATAGCTTAGTTTCATTCGACAGGTCGGTTATTGCTTCTCTCACCATAATCCAACTCGAAAGCAGAGATTGACTCTATCTTTGGCTGGCCATTCCGAATGAACCACAGATAGGAACAATCTTTATAGCTTTCACGCGCGAATAAATCGTTCACGATGCATGTCCAAAGTGTAAAGTCTAAATTCGCCTTTATACGGCAACGAGTATCCTTTTGAGGCGTTAATGGCTCTTGTAGATCGATCGATAAAGGTAAACGACGTGTCCCGATACGACCAGACCGTTTAACACCTTGGAGGCTGGTGTGTTTGCAAATGTGAAACCTGTCGCAGGAACCAACCAATAAAAAGAAGACCGGGGTCTCTGAATGGCCGGCAAGGTTAATACGATTGGATGATTGGCTCGATTAGCAAATTGGCTGGCGACGTGTAGGACATTGGGATAAATGAGGATATGTCTATGCTGGGAACATGGCACTGCCGCAAATTGATGGGAAGGGATCGAACGACAGCCTCGATGTCATCGCTGATATATTATGAGACATGGTTTTCGATAGGTGGGCTTACGTGCGCGTGTCAGCTCGACAATTAACGCGACCCTTGTAGAGTTGCACCAAAGGGCCAAAGGGTAGTAGATGGGGGCCCTAAAAAATGGAATTCAAGCAACGCGATCGAATACCCTTTTTTTCTATTATTCACCCCCGCTCTTTCCAGGTGAATCGCCCAACGATAAAATTTCGCGAATTGCTCGCGTCCCATGACGCGTCTCGCGCATCCCACGATACGAAAGTACCGGTAATTTTTATGTATTTATCGTTTAATACGATCGATCGAGCTATGTATCAGTTTCTTGAAAATAACGTGTATTTCATGAATTAGGAATAATGCGATTGAAGACTTCATGATAGAAGAGCAATAACACGATAAGTCACGTTTTCTATTTTTTACAGACGAGCAGTTTTAAAATTCAGCAGGTTGTTGATCAATAGTTAAAATGTTATTAAAATTGTTCGTTTACTTGTATCTCACAGAGATCAGAAAAGTATTTGAACGTCGTATGCTAGTAACACATCTGCAGTAAATATCTTGTAACGTGTATATACATTTTCAAATTGGCCTCAAAATTTGCCAATATAATCGTGACATGTCGCGTCTCGTTACAGTGTCGATAAAATTTCAAAATACGTGTAACGCACGAAGCATAGACATAAAAGTTTTCTGTGGTAAATATCCAAACACTTTCCCGTGCCAATGTACGACATACGCGCAATACAATTTGTTCGTCTTGGAAAATTAATTATAACAGTAAACATCACCAAAAATCCAACGATAGAGGTAAATCGCGAGAAGGATTTATGTAATTCTCGCGTAGTTTCTCGATAGAAGATAACCATTCAAAATGCATCGATGTTTCTCCATTTATTTCTCCTAGATTGTCTGTAAAACAAATACCAGATGCATATAGATGCGTCATCGCGAACGTGGGCCGTGATTTTCAGCGTGGGCGACGGAGGTGTAGCTGAAAGCTGAGGAGCGTAACACGTGGGTTAACAGAAGAGCCGTATCGGGTGAACGGCGCGTGGCAGATGAATTTTTTCATGTCACCGCCATCGATTATTTTCACTATTCGTTATCCCGAAGATACATACATTTGTATCTCGTTAAGCAAGCCATTTCGATGGTTCTGTTAAAAGCATCGTCTCATATTGAACGTTCGTTGCCTTATAAATCCATAAATGTATTCTTCATTTTAATTTGATAGCTGTATTTCTGAGTAGGGGTGTATAATTGAATATACTATTAGGCATTAGTGTTATAAAATAATAATTATACTAATACAATTTTACTAATATATTCGAGAACTTAAAAGGGATAGTAGTTAGGTGGATCGTTATTATATTCGTCGTATTTTATTAGGTTGTTCGAAAAGCTTTTTTCGTTTCATAAGGTGATAATAGATGAACAATTTCTGTTTTATTATTGTTCTATTATTTCCTTATAAAACGAAAGAAACTTTTCGGACAACCTAATACCTAGTTGTATCAGTTACATTACCATTAAACCTGTGCTATATAGTCGTGCCACAACTAGGACGCAAGAAACTAATTATAAATATTTCATTTGAGTTAATTTAACGCGACAAAGTTGAAGTAGTACAGGGCTACAGCAACCATAATAATCTACTTAATATTATATAATAAATTTTGCTACTTTTACCCTCTAACAGATCAGAATATTTATACCAAAACTTCGTTACTTATCTCTTAACAGCACATTTGAATATTTTCCAGTGACGATTCGTTAAAATAAAGCATTCTATCCCCATTACCGCGAGATATCGAGCGGAAACAGTAAGTTTCCTCATCTTGGGATTTCCTCCTCCTGCGGCCTTTACTCTTCCGATCTGTTTGAGTTTTTCGTTCGGGAAAACTGTTGTTTACCACGTTGTTCCGCGATCTATATCTTTGTTCCGTTGCTTTGTTCCGCTGCTTTGTTCCGCGGGACGTTGGCATAATGAACGATACTTGCAGGAAACTTTGCCGGTTCTCTTATCTCTTTGCATTTCCCGTCCTCGATGTAACAGCGCGAAAACTATCATCCTGAAATTTCCAGCGTATTTCAACGAATTACAGCTGTCCCCCGGACTGGAAGTGAATAACGTATTCGCTGGAATAACGTCAACCGCACGACAATCCTCTGTGGTAAAATAAAACACGATAGCTTTTTCGATGAATCGAAAAAACGCCGGTTGACATTAAGGGCTATATTGCTACCTGTCCGAAAAAAGTAACAACGGACGTGGAAAATATTCGATCGATAAACAAACAAAATAACATAAACAAAAAGTATGCAAAGGCCAACAACTGCGATGGGTTATTCAGCCCATTGCGCGTTAAAAAGTAGACGAAACCGAAGAAAAGGAGAGAAAAATATATAAATTCCCGTTCATAAGTATTAGGGATACCTGCTGGTCGTGTACAAAATGTCATGGTTGATCCAGATTGTTACACATTGTAACAGTCGAAATTAAAGATTATTCGGAAAGGATATACAGTTAATTATACGTTGACTCCTATGTAATTCTTTGTTCTAACATTTATTTTTTAAAAATCGGGATCAATTGGACATTTCAATTGGCTGTTAAAATTGTCTGCATATTCGATTGTTGCAACCTCTTTATAATTTCAAAAACATTATTAAATTATTGGTTCTTAATAGTTTTCTTTTTTACAAAAATCTCACGATCTATCAGCCATTTACGAGAAGCATAATCCTTGGCCCCAATCAATTCTTTTCGTTTTTAACGATCACACGAAGATACTATTTATTATTCGTAAAGTAACATTGAAGTAATATAATCCGACAAAAATGTACTTTTTTCCTGAGATCTTCGTGTATAATCGATGAGATTTTTATCACTACATCGAACATATCGCTTCTTCACAGCCCATTATTCCAAGCGAGGTTTAATAATCTTCTAACGGTTTGTCAGGTTATTTATATACATTGTATTTCTCTAATTGTTCTAACCCTAATATGTATTTGTGAACGGTAATGCACTTGCATTCAGGCGGCGGGAACTTCTCTTTATTCTCTGCTCGCGGTCGAAACTACTTCGCCCACACGAGTATGACGGGTCACACCCATTTAATTTCGCGGTTTCTCTTCTTTCATCTCCCCCCTTCAGGTTGCTCGAGCATCGCCTGCAATCAGTTCTTCCACGGTCTTCCTCCGCATTCGACCATCTCCACCTTCGTCGCGTCGCGTTTCGCCTCCCTTCGTTTGTTCTCATTAGTCCGCCATTTATCCTTCGTCTCATTCAACCTCGCGGTTCACCGAAATCCCCACGAAGAATAGCCTGGCCAATTGCGTCTTCGTTGGCGCCCGGCCCAATTGTTTCTCGATCGGCTACGTTCTAATTGCGGAAACACAATTAGCGCGAATAAATAACCAACCAACCAGCCATCCAGCCAGCCAGGTGCGGTTTCTAATTAATTCTCCGCAGGTTGTTATCGGCCAGTGAACGAATCGTCGCCGCGTTTTATCTGTCGCGTCGTTCAATTGAGATCTTCAATACCGTAAATAATGGGCTTGCTTCGATTAGATTACATTTGTAGAAGAGTACAATTAATTTGAATACTTGAAAGGTGATAGATTGGAAAATAGTTTGTCAAATGTATAAGGAATCTACAAATTTGATAACAGTTCATAAAATATATATATATAATAATTTAGTATAGCGTAGGAATAATAATAATTACTAGGGTGCGCAGTTTTATTCGTTGATAGGAAACTTAAAGGTGACAGAATACGCGGAATGCGCGTAACATGCAAAGGTATTAAAAACAAATTTCTATTTAGGTTCTGTTCTTTACCAGAATACCAACCACGTTGTTATACAGCGATCAAACAATTATACTTAAAGAGGAAATATTAACAATTGCTCGTCAGATCGAAAGAAATGCGAGGGTGGAAGGGTTAATGAATTTAATCATCACCGAGAGAGCTGGAATCGATGCCTTTTGATATCGCTTCGACCACGATACGTGGCGAGCTACTCGAATGCACAGAAAAGAAATCGCACAAGAGAAGTCGACGACGCGATGGCTGGAATCGAGTTCGGGTCTCACTGTCACGAAGATAGCACCGACCGATTTCGTGCACGCGACCAAAGTGAGGAAAAGGGGTTACAGGAGCAGAAAAGGGATGGAGCGAAGGGAGAGAAACGATCGATCGAAAGCTGCATTCCTTGGCGAAGTGAAAGAATCGGTTCGTGCCAACCTATGCCGCTTTTCTTTCGAAGTGCTGAAGAGTTACTTACAGTTCCTTGACGTAGATCCTTTGCCACTACACGCCATATTTTCTTTTCATTTCATTCCACTTTGTCACTGTTTCACTGTCTCTTATTCGTCGTTTCTATTTAATAGAATAAACTCGTGGAAAATTATAGAACAGGACGAAACCGTGAAAACACTAAAATTACTCTTTATTAAAAATATTTTTAATTAAAATATACTCGCTCCTAAAAATTCATTTCGAATCATACTGGGAGAACGAAACGTTTAACGAAAATACCATGTATAATAAAACGTCGAAAAAGTCGAGTGCGACAGATAGATGAGTAATTATATATTTTTTACTTTTTAATAACATTTTTAATACATAAATATAGTACCCTTTACTTTTCTATATAAACGAACCACAATTATTTCCATAATTAAACCACTTTCTTCAAATTTGACTACAAATACAACTGTCCCATGATTTATATACGTTTTTCAAAAAAATCTCCTCCGCTTCATTTGCTCTAATATTTGTTCGAATATGCTCCATGCTCTTTATTGAATGTATCCAATTTGTTCTC